GATGCGTTTCAAAAAGGCGGGGCATAGAGGAGAAACAATAATGTACAGTATGCGGAAAATAATGTGTTTTTTGAACTTTAAACCGCATAACCACATTTCATTACACCAAATACACAAAATAATGTTCTTTTTAGCAACATCATATGATCCCTTTAAGGAAAACAAGAATTGGAAGCACTATTTTTGTATCTTACTGTTTCAGATTTTGTTGATGTCCTTTAATTAATTTAGATCAATTATATTAACATCAAACTTACTTCACATTACATTATTCTAATTACCTGTCCTTTGTAATATACATCATATGTTCATTGCCTTTTACAACAATGATTCTTTGTGAATCCCAATTTAAATAAAATGATTTCAAATAATTCACATCAGTAAAAAAAAAAAAAAATCATGATACAAGGTTTTCTACAATTGTTGTACATTTACATAACATTTGTGTGGCTTCTCTGTAAAATATCCCAGTCAGTTAATGAACCATACATGTTACTTGTTTATTTCACCTTCACTCAGTTAACATCAGCTCATACCACACTGGTTTTACTTTGTTTTCTTCACAGATCACGTTTCATATATTTTAAGTTCTGACACTGTTTCCTGTGCACTAAACAAGTTGGTTGTTAATGGAAATGACAACACAGCTTTGGGACAATCATAATTTGAGCAATTTACACAATAAGCGTTTTTAAACAAACAACAACAACAAAAAAATGTATGTTTTTATTTATTCATGTCACTCGTTGTTTACATCATGATAATCGTCATTAAATGAAATAATTACTATTTTACAGCTCTAGAAAAAAAATTAGACCACTCCAAAATGTTCTTAAAGCAGCAATCTTTTTATCAAGGAAAAGTATAAAAACCACTGCTGTGGTCATCACTGTCCTCTCGCAGTAGGACTAGCTGGACGGCAAAAACTGTACTAGCAGTACCTCAAAAATAATTGTAATCAAATAATAACTATTGACCATGCCAAAAGAGTTGAAAAAAAAAAGTTTTCAGTGAGGAAAAGAAGGGTTCAACTCTGGCTTTACTGGCAGGGATACAGTGAGCATCAGGTTGCTTATATTCTTAAAATTTCGAAGACAGCAGTTCATAAGAACAAGGTCAAGCTGCAGACATTGGGGACAACAAAGCCACAGACCTGCAGAGGGTGAAAATTACTCTCCACTGACTGGGATGACGGACAACTCATTCAAATGTCACTCAACAACCATAGGATGACATCAAGTGAACTACAAAAAGAACGGCAAACGGCACAGCGAGGACTGTTCAAAACAGGCAAAGCTTTGCCAACATCATGGTCATCTAATAGTTAGATGGAGACCTGGAGAGGCCTACAAGCCACAGTGTCTCGCACCCACTGTGAAATTTGGTGGAGGATCTGTGATGATCTGGGCGTGTTTCTGCAAGACTGGAATTGGGCACATTTGTCTTTGTGAATGGCGCATGAATTAAGCCACGTACAAGGTTGTCCTGAAAGAAAACTTGCTTTCTTTCTGCTCTGACAATGTTCCCCAACTCTGTGGATTGGTTTTCCCAGCAGGACAATGCTCCATGCCACACATCCAGGTCAATCAAAGTAGGGATGGAGGGCAACCAGATCAAGACCCTGTCATGGCCAACCTAATCTCCAGAACTGAACCCCATGGAAAACCTCCAGAATGTGACCAAGAGGAAGATGGATGGTCACACGCAATCAAATAAAGCCAAGATGCTTGATTTTTTTTGCACCAAGACTGTTGGAGAACATGCCAAGAAGCATGAAAGCTGTGATTGAAAATCAGGGTTATTCCACCAAATATTGATTTCTGAACTCTTCTTAAGTTAAAACCTTAGTATTGTGTTGTTTAAAATGTTTTCTTTGCATTATTTGAGGTCTAAAAACACTGCATCTTTTTTGCTATTTTGACCAGTTGTCATTTTCTGCAAATAAATGGTCTAAATGACGTTTGGAATTTGGGAGAAGTGTTGTCAGTTGTTAAAATGTTAATTTTACTTAAACACATACCTATAAATAGTAAAACCAGAGAAACTGATCATTTTGCAGTGGTATTTACATTTTTCCAGAGCTGTATATTGGATTTCCATATTTTAAGATTGAAAGTCTGAAAAAGATAAAATAATAAAATCTATACATATTAGGGATGGGAAGATTCGAGGCAGATCCCAAACACGGGCGACACTGGGTTGTGACTGAGGCCAAGATGGACGGAAGTGGAGTAGAGTCCGGAAAGTGATCTGGATTTGGAGGATGTAGATGGCGGGGGAAATGAAAGAAACAAAAGTAGTAAGTGGACTTTAGTAGAAAAGCGGAAAAGAAGGAAAGATTGGAGCCAAACATCAGGAACAGAAAGTGAGAGAGAATGTCATCAGATGAGAACAAGAAAGGAGGAGTTTAAGGTATTGGTGAAGTTTATGTCGGAAGAAGCAAGTAGTTTGAATCCCTTGAAATTGACTAAGTCACTGAAGGAAATGGTAGGAAATATTGAAAGTGCTAAGATGTTGCGAGATGGAAAAATGATAATTTTCTGCAAAGACAGTAAACAACAAAAGGCTGCTCTAGGGATTAAGACTATTTTAGGG